CATATTTACAATTGAAAAATCCGCAGCAAGATATATTTTCCGTCGTTCCCTATCATGTTGGTCGATTGTGGATCAGGAATCACTAATGTCAAGCGACTCGGAGGTTGGAAATCGACGACTGTCGCCGAGAGCTACATTTGTGATTCGACAAATCAGAAAAAGGACATGTTGAATAAAATATTGGCGACGAACAACTTCTGCACTAAGTCAACCTTAATGCCAAGCCATATGAACAGCTACTCTTAAGTCAACCGTCATCAAGCCATGTCAACAACTATTGCCTTTCTGCGTTAAATCAACCTTCATCAAGCCACATAGACAACTGCCTTTTTGACATAAGTCAACCCTCATCGACCCATTTGAACAACTGTCCTGAGTTAAATTCACTTTCTTCGAACCATAATCTTAACTGCCCTTCCGCGCTAAGTCATCAAGCCATACCGCAAGTCACCCATTAAATGAACTGACCGGATCTGCAATCAGTTTGCAAAATGTCAGTAAACGTTCTTTTCTTATAAATATTATGAACAAATAATTTATTTTTTATTAGTATTTTTTATTGTTATGTAATATTTTGTTGTATAGTTCTTTCTTTCAAGTTTACTTAAAAATTATTGAATGAATTATAATTTTCTTATTTTTGTTGTTACTTGATATAAAGCTCGTAGGAAAAATTTTGTTCCTAACACGAGCGCAAAGTGACTTTTCCGCACGCAAAACCTTATCCGAACTCCGCTTCGCTGTATTTGCGGAAAAGTAACACTTTGCGCACTTGTTAAGAAAATAATTGTTAAAATCGTTCTTGAAAAGATGAACATAATAACAGATATTTTCCGTAAATTTATTTTAACTGTTATATTTACCTATTAAGATAAAAAAAACTCGCGAAGTTCTTCCTTGCTTTTCAAAGAAGGCTCTAAATTCAAAAAAAAAAAATACGTGCGTTTTAAAATATTCCAATTTGGGCTCTAATTGTATTACAGCTTTCTATTGCTCTCTTGTCAACTATTTCTGTATATAAAAAACTTTTATGTCCATCCCAAATAAAGAAGTTCGGCATATCCAGATCTGTCAATCTAAATGGCCATTGAACTGGTCCATAACCAACTTACCTTTGTTCGTAAGTTTTTATAAGAAAACACGATATTACTTTTCCGAAGATATTAATACATCATTTATTAGACAAAAAAATCAAATTTTGCGTGCACACCCTAAAGAAAAGCTTTAAATTCACAATTTGCAATTTTTCTGAACACAATGCGTCCTATTGAAAAGAGAAGAATACTTTTCCATAAAATTTACCCTGCTCTCTACTTTGTCGTGACGTGACCATAATCAAGTAGCAGATTTACTAAGTAACACTGTGGACCAAATTTGAATTGATTGGCCTGGGAATTTTTAACAAAAATATATTTTTTACAAAAACTGTATCACTCTGTATCTCGCAAAACAAGCATATCCAGCCATATATGCCAAAGAATAATCTATGATTTCAACATTTTTTACATCCCCTATAAATTATTTTAGTTAAGAACAAACTGTTTCTTCATTTTTTTATGTCGAATTTATAAGCAAGATAAAGTTCACAAAACGACTTCTCTCTGCCCTGCTGCATAAAACTTAATAACGAGAGACTAAACCCGATTTCTACAAAAACGACACCGTAAAAGTAGTAAAAACTAATAAAAGTACAGGAAGAGTCCGACAAAGAGAAATAACTTCAAATTTAATCTTCTGGAACAAATGACCCGTTTTATACTCTGAAAAGCAGCATTTATATCCTTAATACATTAAAAACCTACTTATTTGCCACTCTTGAAGTTTGTCGTCAAAGCGGAATACCCTTATTTCCGTTCCTGATGATTCAAATAAGTGCTTTATTAATTTACCAGTCACTTCCAGAAAGTATGAAGATGGAAAAAAGAGAAATAAATTAAATTAATTTGTAACTGCTTAAGGAGGTGCTACAGTGAAATATATTTAATTCCAGGCAATTTATTTATTTTTATTCGGAACGTGCTTCCTTTGCTATGATATTATATCTCTGTTTAGTGTGGTGAGTGTTCAAAGGAGACATTAAGGATGAATAATGTACACAGATATAGAAGAGGACATGATAATCCAACACACAAATTTACATTACCATTATAAGGGTGTGTAAACAATAATATCACAGATACTCTGCATATGACAGAATTTTGCTGTGTACATAGAGAAAAAAGTCCAGCTTTAAATTACTTGAAATTTGACTAGTCATAGTCCAAGCTTTCTCGGGTAAAAAACTGAATCTACCCTAGGGTAAACTCTAGGTTTCCACCTATGGAATAATTGGCAATTCCTTGGAAGTTCAAAATTAGCTCCAGCTAGTGACTATAACAATTCTTGTTATAGTCACTGCTCCAGCTAACTCAGGGGTTAAGGGGGGATCGCTGTCAGTAAGATCGGAAACCTATATCTCTGCTGGTCACTTGTGGCGCCAGGTGATATACCACTAGTACTACATTACTTTAAGCACTTGATAAAAAAAGAAACAAAAATTGAAATACATCTATTCAAGATATAGAAGTTAGTTAGACTTGCAATTTATTTACAACTCTACTTTATATTAGGAATTAATTTAAAATGGTAAGTTACGCTAATAAATATTTATTTAAACTATTGATGACTGGAAAAAATAGAAAGGTTTTACAGAACGGAGTGATATGTCGGTTAAGTCTCTGGCCAACACAAAAACACCTCACCAACAGTTCAATGGGTAACAAATTGCCTGCCTCCATGTGCCTCAAGCGATGATCAATTAGTCGGTTGAAATGGAACCTTCCATTATCAACGACGGGCCTTTGTCTTTCGGTTAGAATCGCGGGTGACAGTCGCGTTCTGGATCCCTATAACAAGACGGACGGATTTTTTGAGCAGGGTCGTGCGATTCGTAGATGTTGGGTGCTTTTCCTGCTGGAGAAGCGTCTCGAGGAGGTTTTTTAGGGTCGGCCGCGGCGCGTATTACGCCTGTAGGATCTCTTATATGTTTTAATTTCATAAAATTAACTGTTCGTCAGGCGCCAGTAAATTTTGACAAAAAGAATTTACAAACTTTTAACAGCGTGCCAGACCCTGTCGAAGGCCTTGGCGACGTCCAGGAAGACTGCCACGGTGGATTCTCGGTTGTTGAAACCTGCGGACAGATGTTCTACTAACCTGAGAATCTGCTGCTCCGTTGAGTGTCCGCTGCGGTAGGCGAATTGTTCGTCGGGGATGACTCGCAATTCTTCCGAGCTCTCACGCAGTCTGGTCAGGATAATCCTCTCCGCTACCTTGCTCATCATCGGCAGGAGACTGATGGGCCTGTAACTGGCAGCAAAGGTTAGATTCTTCGGGAAGAAGATGACGTCGGCTTTCTTCCACCTGGCGGGGAATCTTCGCAGTTTCAGGATGGCGTTGACGATGTTGAACAGCGCCATAACTCTCTTGTGGGGGAGCGTTCTGAGTATTCGGTTTCCGATCGGGTCACATCCGGGTGCCTTGCGGGGGTTAAGACGCCGCAGGATGTCCCTCACCTCCTCGGGTGTCGCGGGCCTAATGTCGTCCCTGTCGGGTTGGCGTCTGTAGCGCCGTACGCGTCGTTCCACCTCGTCGGCGTGGTCCTCGTCTTCGTCGTCGAGAAGGTTTTCCCTACACTGTAATTCAAGGCTGTCGGCGAATGCCTCGGCCTTTTCATACCTGGTGTAGACGATCCCGTTCTCTCCGTGAATGGGAGGCATAGGCTTCCGGGTGGTCCTCAGCGCCCGTTGCATCGTCCACAGGCTGCGGTCTTCGGGGTTTAGTGACTCCAGATGTCGTTGCCACGAGTCCTGGTAGTGCTCCTCTAGGGCCGCTTTTACCCTCCGGTTCAGCTGGTTTAACGTCTGCTTATCCCGGGGGTGTGCTGTCCTCGTGGCTCTTCTTTTCGCCGCACGTCTTTCCCTGATTAGGTCCTGCAACATAAGAGGTAACTCACCTGCATAGTTCGCTATCCTTCTCTCCGTCGTCTCCGTGGTGCTGGCTTCCAAGGCGGTGTGGATATCCGTCTCAAGGCTCGCGATGGCAGCCTCGAGGTCCGCCGCGTCGCGGATGACCGGAATGGGTGCGCATATTCGTTGCATTTCTGCGCGGAATAGGCCCCAGTCGGTCCGCCGCTTGGCAACGGTGTCCTCGCCGCGACGCTCGTCTCCTAAGGTTAGGAGAATGGGGGCATGGTTCGTCGCCCCCTCGTAGTGCGTCGCCAGATCGGCGTCCATCGGTATTGCCCTGAGCAAAGCGATATCCAACACGTCTGGTCTTCCAACTGCACCGTAGTACGTCGGTCCATCGGGTCCGTACGCTGCAACGTCCTCGTGGTTCTGCAAGAATTGCAAAAGCACCCTGCCACGCGTGGTGGTGGTCGTGCTGTGCCATTCGGGCGATTTCGCGTTAAAGTCCCCGATGGCTACGGTTTGGGGCCACGTCTCCAGGACCGCGCGTAAATCGTAATCGGTGTGCGGGAGCTGTGGGGGCTGATAACAGGTCACTAGCTGAGGAACCTGCAACATATGCTGATCTATACCTCATTTTACTAGCAGGGCCACGCCTCCTCCGTGTCTGTTTAGGTCCCTGCGATACACTAGGTAGCCAGGAATCCTAACAGTGTGTGCGTCCTCTACTTTGGTCTCTTGTATCGCCATCACGTCCACGTCTAGACGGGGCAAGAGCTCCTTGAGTTCGATTTTGCGCCCCCGGAATCCGTCGACATTCCAGGAAGCAATTCTGAGAGACTGCACACTAGTCGGAGGGTCCATGTACTCCTGTAACAGAGATGGCATTTTACTGAAAAAAGCCGACATGGCGGCGTACATCTCCCGCATCTGTGCCAGCATGCTGGCCACATTTGCAGGTTCCGCACTCCTGTCGGTTTTGGGGCAACCCCTTGTGTGCCGCGGCGGGGGCCTGCTTTGGTCTGGCGGCGTCGGCGAAGCTCTTCGCCGCAGTCACCTTCGGGGGTGTGCCAACTTAGCCTGTGTTTTGTCGGCTTGGGAGTCTTCTTTGCGCTGCTGCTTTTTGCTCCCTGTCGTCTTCTTAGGGAAGCTAGGCCATCCGCGGTAGCTGGCAGGATGTTCGCCACCGCAGTTGGCGCACTTTGCCGGGATCTCGCGCTTCTTAGTGCAGTCTGCCGAGTGGTGACCTTCGCCGCATTTCACACACTTGACAGCTGCGGTGCAACGGCTCTGCGCGTGACCGAAGCATTGGCAGCGATGGCACTGCGTCGGCTCGGTTCTCGCCCTCTGCGATTCCACCCTGACGACTAGGTGGTAGCATCTTGTCACCTTGAGCAGGTCCTCTTGCTCCTGGGGGACTTGTACAAGTACTAGAGGGATGGGGGCCTTGTTCCTACGGCTCTTCATTATGAAAACAGATGTTATTTTGAAGCCCTGTACTTCGAGATCAGACCGAATTTCCTCGTTGGAAATTCCGTCTGGTAGCCCTCTGATCACGGCCCTCAGCAGCCGCTCGCTTGGGAGAGAGAAGGTGTGAAATTCCTTCCCTTCATCGGCGAGGACACGCGTGAGGCATCGATAATCGTCAGGCGTTTGCGGGTGAATGGCGATGCCTTCACCCGTTAACCTGGCCCTGGTGTAATTTATTTTTCTGTTGGTCAGACTCCTGCTGACCTCAGTCCACTGCTCCTTCTTGCGAAGGATGACAGGCGGTATCCTCTCGGCTTTCTCGGCAGGGGCCGCGCGCTCTGATGTCGTCGCTGGGACCTTCGCCTGTTCGGCGACAGGTGCTTCGTTCTCTTTTGATGGCTTCTTTTTAGCCTTGCAGGGCTCCTCCTCGGAACCCGACGAGGTCCCTGGCTTACCTCGCTTTACCCCTTTTGGGGTCTGTTGTCCCTTGAGGGCGTTTAACAGCTCGGCGTGCTGTTCTCGAGACCTCTTTTCAAGGTCGTCGAACGCCTTCCTCTGTTGCCTCAGCTCATCTCTGAGGTCGTCGATCATTTGCCGTAGTCTGGCATTCTCTGCTGCCAGCTCACTCTCACGGCTAGTTGTCTCCACGACCGACCCGGGAGTGCTAGGCCTGCTATCGCCGGCTTCGCTGCCACTCGAGCGTTCGCTCTCTATGGGGGTCGGAGATCTCGACATAGTGCCCTCCTCTCCGGCACCCGAATCTGAAAAATAAATGCCGGCGGTCTCTCTGCCTAGGCTGAGATAACGTCGGTCGTTAGTAGAAATTTTGCAATATAAAATTGCCAAAATATTTCTATAGATTGCCTTAATAAAGGCAGAATATTACTTGTCTTGTAAAAGACAGGTTTTGTGGGGCTCCCACTGCACTGTTCCTCGCACTGACACTCACTGCTGCACTGCACAAACTACGTCCGCACAGTTTGGCTGCTCGCTTGCTGATTTCATCCCTGAAAAACCATCCCTTTTATCTAGAAATTTTAGGTCCTTAAGGGTGAATTTCCCTAAACTATTGCGTATTTTGCAATCGTGACATTATGCTTTGCAATATTTCATCAGATTTCATTATCTTTCTAGAACTTTCTAGAAGATTTCATCAAAAACAGCAAAAGTAAACTGAGGGTTTCGATGCTCGATTCTGATTGGTCCACGACTTTGCGAGAAACGGTAATTTTCACCGATCTTTCTAAAAATTTATACAAAATATTTGACTAATTTACGTTCCGACGTTACTAATTGACTTGAATTTGACGTAATATACCGCTACATGTATATTACCTAATCCTTATCGATGATTACCATTCGCGAACGTTTCTTCTTACTCCGAAGAGGTACAACCGAAGCTATAGCGTCCTGGTAGGATATCAGGCTCTGGGATCGGGAAGCGTCGCTATCGGCAGGAAGTCCATCCAAACTAGCGGATTTCAACCCTGTGTGATCCTTGGCTTCTGACTGGCGACTACGGGAGCTACCACTGCCTAGAGGTCCAGTTGAGGAACTTGTAGAGTATTCGGACTGGGCATCTTCGTCTAAGTTTCCTAGTGGTGCAGGGCGTATGTCATCTATATGTATAGACGTCTTCATTGGGGTTGTTATATCCGGGTAGTCATAATCGGGTTGTCAAAATCGGGGTCAAAATCGGGAGTGATAATCAGGAGTCATGATCGGGGTGAGTGGCCTTTTGGGGTTAAAGGTCTATAAACCGGGCATATCCCATGCAGAGGGATCCCGGTTGGTTAAATCGGCCAACGGATGACGTGGGACGATTTGGGGGGGAGGAGATTCGAAACTCGCGGGGACAACTTCCGCGGGTTGTTGTCTAATATCTGTGGCCGAAGCCGTGGCGGGACGAAGGAGGATATCTTGCAGGATGATCACTCGGGAATGAGGCAAGGGTTCGTGTTTGGTTACAAACCACTCCTCATCCTCCGATGTGTACTTCCACAAATTTATCGACCTTGGGGGAAACGTGGAAGAGCTTGCGGTGGACCTTCCATTTCTCCGCAAGTCTCTTAATATACTTGGGGGAGGGTCTGTACTGAGGATACAAACTCTGCCGGGTAATCATGGCCTGGGCCATGGAGACGAGGACTTCATGGGCAGTCATCCGGGTAAGTAAAGTCCTTCATCTTTGTAATCTGCCCCACACAGCACATGACGTCCCTGGGATATCCTCATTTAGTCCTATATATCCTAATCGGGGATCTCACTCCTCAGGATATCCTGATGATATTTAAATAAGACAAGTAGATCCTATCAATATCCCAGTTGGGGATATCCCAGGTAAATCCAAACAGGATGTCCTGGAAATATTCTATGAAGTTGTTAAAAGCCGAACAATCTCCAATTTTGGGATATCCTAGGCAAATTCTAGAGTGATCCCATCCTGGGATGGTTCTTGGCTTTGCACAGTGCATGGTGCATGCGCAGTATGACATATTGACGACATGACCCGTATCTCGCCATTTTCTGTGTTTCTTTGTTTTATAAGTGCGTGACTCAATGACGTTTTTATTAATTTGAAAAGTGGAAAATGAAATTTAAAGCTTGTTAAAATAGTTAAGTGACGTGCATCAACCACCTGCTGGCAGAAGTAAGTATTTAAATTACCTTTGGTATTAAGGTATTAATATCATAGAATAAACATATAGGTTAGAATCGTATATAGTATTAACTAATTTTGTTCTTACTGTTTGTATCATGCAATAATTATATAATGCCTAAAGAACGCATTAAAAAAACATGTTTTCAAATATTTTTTATATAGAGCCTAATACCATTCAAAAATTAGAATAGTTTTTATCACTATTTGTAATAGATGTGTATAAGTGGTATCACCAAATCTACATAATATGTTCAAATCTATAATTTTTAGTTTTGAATGTGTTGTATATAGGTGTTCTGACAAAGGATTGTATCCCATAAATTTAATTAATTTATTATAGTTCTCTGTCTGTAATATTTGTACCAACATTGTGAGTTATAAGGATTACATTATAAATCGTAGGCAGAATTACGTATTATCTATTAGAATATTAGAATTAAATTTAATATCAACAGATTATAATCCATAGTTCATGAAATTAGAATAGTCTCGTTAAATGTATTTAATGAAAATTTTTGTTTTGTCACTCGTCTACAATGTAAATGTATTATTAACATACTTTTTCTACAAATTTACAGCTGGAATTTCACAAGCACATTGCACAAAAAATTGCCCAGAAAAAGATAATGGGGAGGGCATTAAAACATGTCGCGGCATGCAAATGAGAGACTATAAAAAGAGACCAGATCAACAGCACATAAGGAATAGTTATACATATAATACAAATAATAACTTAGTTGTGTATATAACTTTGTTTATATTCTGTAATAAAAAAGTTGGTTATATGTATCATAGAAAGAGTTGATTATATATATATAAGTACATGTGAAATTTGCTTTTTAAGTTTATATTTATAATGTGCAATGAATAAAAAAATTCAGTTCAATTTTATTTTTTTATTCAAGAACTCAGTTTAAAAATAAGTGCTATTAAAGTTTATATTTTATTCTCATGAAGTACTTTAGGTCTTATTTGTTCCAGTTTAAAAAAATGCCTCAAACCAGTTTTATGAATAATATGAACCGTTGATGTGTATATCTAAATAATTTGGAGATGTTTCTGAAAACTTGTATGTAGTCTTGTCTGTAGTAGTTGTTGTCTTAAACAGAAAAATATCTGCCGGTGGCTATGTTACAGAATTTTCTCGTCAGATTTTAGTAAGTGGGTGAGTAAAATGTTTAAAAAATACATACGTGTATCAACGATGGAATACTTCTTGCAGAAAAATGTAAAATGTCTTTAAATCTCATGAAAAGAGAATTTTAAAACTACCCTTTACGTATTTATGACGAATCTAATCGACAGATCCAAAATATTGTATTGTTAATTTTTATTCCAGTGGTATTCAAAGAAATCAAATCTCGTATTATAACCGAATAGATAAATGATCAGATTTCCCTTTTCATTTTTTTGTCAATATTTTTTTTTAATAAAAAATATTAGATGGAGTGGAAATGGCAAGCAAATGTTTTGGAAATTAGGTACGTATTTGATCTATAGAAATATTTAATACCACCCTGTAATTTTTTTTATTAGCCCAATAAGTACTAAAAATGTGCTGTATATAGCCCAGCTAATGTCCTGAGGACATCAACAGTAAAGCCTACGTTGTCCTCATTTGATCCACTGATAACCTGATAATAGCCCGGCTGATGTCCTGAGGACATCAACAGTAAAGCCTAGGTTGTCCTCATTTGATCCACTGATAACCTGACAATGTCCTGTATATAGCCAGGCGGATGTCCTCAGGACGTCACACGCAAAGCCGGGGAGGTTCCATTTGGATATCCCTGGTACATCCTGAGGTGATCGTGTACCTATCCGAGGATATCCTATATATATCCTGAAAAGTTATCCTCAGTACATCCTACGAATGTCACTGTGCTGTGTGGGGCTGTACTTGGTACGTTTTAAAAGGACGCGGGTCCTTCTCCATCTTCCTTCCATCTACTGCTTACTTCTACTGCGGTGGATTAGAGGTCATCCTCAATCCAGTTCGTCTCGTTTTCGATTCGACTCGAGCCTCGCGTTGGAGCGCCGTGTCAACGCTCGTGCTTTGCTTTTACAACAGTTTTGGCTCGTATGAGTATTTCCTGTTGTTATAGTAGTGACCACTTTTTTAAGTAATTATCTGTATATCCCTTTCAGCTTTTCCGAAAAAATGCACTACTAAACTTTGTCGGTTTGAGTTCCGATTCAACTCTTTAATTACTGAAGGTAATTAGACAATTTTACGAGCACTTAGGTTCCGGCGGACTTTGTATGTCGAAGGCAGGTAAGAAATCGGAATATCACTTCGTAGATTTATTTCACTTTATTCCCCGTACTTGCGGATGAAGACTAACTTGTAATTTGTTTGAGAAGAACTTGGTTGTAAACTTAGTATTGAACTGTTGAACTTCGGCGATAAACTGATTTCATCCCTGAAAAACCATCCCTTTTATCTAGAAATTTTAGGTCCTTAAGGGTGAATTTCCCTAAACTATTGCGTATTTTGCAATCGCGACATCATGCTTTGCAATATTTCATCAGATTTCATCATCTTTCTAGAACTTTCTAGAAGATTTCATCAAAAACAGCAAAAGTAAACTGAGGGTTTCGATGCTCGATTCTGATTGGTCCACGACTTTGCGAGGAACGAAATACTGACATCTGATTGGCTGAAGGCTTCACATAAATATATAAAGTGGTATAAAACGCAAATTTCAATTTTGTTTCGTTCATTTGCATAGTAGCCCTTCGGTCTACAACAAAAGCACGGTATATTTATAAATTATAATATTAAAAAACTGGATAAGAGTTTTTTTTATAATATACCAAACGTTTAGTTCTACAAAAATTATTTGAACATCTTATAACTACACAATTAAATATTAATTTTTTGTAAAGTACATTTAATTAATATACTTTTACTATTTTTCTTTATTTATTTACTGCAAAAAAATATTGTCGGGCAAATATTTATAAAGGTAGATATACCTATATTTTCTATATGTATACAGGGTGCTTCACGATAAGTGGCCTATTAAACGTTTCAGAGGTTTCAGAATGTTACAAGGGTTATAGTAGGGGAGCCCAAGAGGGGATTTTGGGAGTTACTCAAGCGCGGCAGATTAACATATGGGGGATACCTTGCACCCTGTTGAGTACCTCCACCATATCTAAGTCCTCTATATAAGGCCGCGCGTGTAGGGCAGCCAATCAGAATAGTAAAAAAAATCGATAGTTGGAAATACTCGAGCGCGTCAAATTAAGATATGATCGATTATTTACATGCTGAAAAGTGTGCATATCAATAATCTGACGATTTGAGCATGACGTAAGGCAGTCGGAAGGTCACAGAGTTGCAAAAAAAACGTCACCTCGACATTCTCGAGCGCGGTCGATTTTTTTTATTTTGAAGGAAATAATTCAAGGACAACGGGAAAAATATAATCTGCCGATTTCCACAAGCCGAAGTAACAAAAATCGTTAATAAAGTTTAGCGTGTGCAGCTGCAGGGAAATACATGTTGTGTTGAAACTCCGTCAGGAAACTCCGGGAGGTGATTCTATGGATTAAAACAATAGCAGTATGTAATGAATATTTTTTTCGAATTGTCAATTGTTTGCAAGTTACAGCTTGTCGAAGTTCATTTTTTTTTAATTTTTTTATTTAAATAATATTTAATTCATGTTCGATTAGTCTCTCATTTGGCACACCCACTAAGTAGATGAAGGTCTATTGGACCAGTCAGAGAAAAGTTAGTTAAAAGAACCAATTACAATTACAATTCTACTTCTTACATCATCCCTACTCCAAATTATTCTTAATCTAGTTATTCGAATCTGCATTCGGTAACTCTATATAATTTTCCTTTTCTTTACTCTTTATTTATTAATAAATAAATAACTAACTAGATAACTGGCAAAGCTAAAATAATTAAAAGAACAGTCCTAATTAGTATATAAAAATTTAACACGTGGTTTTATAATCTATT